TTAACGACCTTTTAATAAAAGTGATTTTCCTTAAAACATTATATTTTTTGAAATATTGTATTTACATTAGATCTCAATTGTATTTTAAACAAAATGCCATTTCTATAATAAGTTACAGACAATTAAACTATGTAATTAATATAATTATTGTTTAAATAGGTTTATTATATTTTTAAAAATAAAATGTTATAAATTATTCATAAACAATTGCTTAGTATTAATTGTTATTTAATAAACTAATCCATAATAATTCACCACAAAATATATAAATTTATATAAATTTTCCTATTATAGAAATAATATAATCCATTGCAAAATATGATGTAATTCTATAGTAATTTATCAGGTATAATGCAATTTTAATGATTTGGCTAAATATTATTATTAAATTTCTTTTCACAAAACAAAATAATTCAGTAACATTAATATTTATGCAAATTATTTTATAAATAAGTTTATTATATTGTGTAATATCATATAATTATAACTTTTATGCGACATTACTAAATTTATCAATGATTGTCATTGTTACTTAGCTTGAGTTTGTTAGTTCATGATCACAATTAGTGATCACAATTGGTTTATAATTAACAATAATTTTATTTTATTTTGGATTTCAATTTGCAGTCATTTTTATTAATTGCTTAACAATTAATAGCAAATAAATGAGAATTTAATTATAATTTTTTTTATTGTGCTTATTAAATGGGATGACTAGGATTATTATATTTAGATTATCTTTAGTTAAAATTATATAATAAACATTTAAGGGTGAAAATTATTTGTAACTTCCAAAAATTTTTGACAATTAAGTATTAATACAATGTGTAACTAATGCTGTATTAAAGTTTATAAAATGTTCAAATAAGTTATAAAATATTAAGAAATTATTTGAAATAAATAACTTCATTATAAAAAAGTAAGAAATAATAATAATTACAATTTTCCAATTAAATAAAACTTTTTATTGCTTACCATGATGGTATTCTGAAGACATTTATTTTGGCGAAATTAAATAATATTTAAACTTATAACAGTAATAGTAATTAAACAATTAACCAATATGAAATAGCGTACATTATAATACATATTTCAAGAAACATTTAAATTATGTTTTGTTTCTGTTGTGAGTATAGAGTCTAAGACAACACTTATATATAAATGACTTTTCAATAAATAATTAACTTTAATCGTATAAATTTTTAAATAATTTATTCAATTTATTAAATACTTGGCAACAAAATGTGTTATAAGTTATTCTTAAATTTTTCTTTCACATGAGAAAATAATTTAAAAACAACAATCACAAATTGCTTTAATTAAACATTCAAAATTTAACGTTTGATAACAAAACAGTAGTGGTATAGTACTGGTGACCGCCTAAATCTACAAAAAAAACTTAAAACTTTTAGTTTTACTGTTTACATATTAATTAGTTTTATTACTTACTGTACGTATTAAATGCTGCATGCACTTTCTATTCATTTTCGATATTCAGGGAGTTGATAGGGAAAAATAATTTGTTGAATAAGACAATTGTTGACTATTTATTATCCGGATTATTATTATGACGAGCGAATCGTTTACTATTAATGGTTACCCAATTGGATACGATAGGTATGGCACCGGTCCGTCACCTGTGCTTATGATACCCGGTGCTCTCGGTATACAACCTTTGCTTACTATAATATAATTATAAAAATTTTATAACAATGCTTTGTATTGAAACGTAAGGCACGGGTAAAACTGATTTTTACAAACAGTTGGAAGGGGACGACCAGTTAGATCAGGACAAGTTCACCATCATTGCTGTGGACCCGCCCGGTTGGGGCCAATCCCGACCACCCGCCATTACAATATATTGGTGGGGGTGGTTTGCCGTAACAATTTGGACACTTTTCGATCATCCGAATTAATTAATGATGGTTTCAATTTATTCCTTATAATTTATATTTAAAAATAATAACTATTATACAAATAATATATATATTTTTTAATGACCTCACAATTTACACCCAAAGCTAATGTCAATTTTGTAGAGATTTTAAGCATACATGACACATTTTTAATTAAACACAAAATCTGCTTAAGACATTTAATTGGCTAAAAGTATTATAGTTTAATAAGTTATTGTATACAATAAAATACAAGCTATTAACTTAAGTTGTTTAATATAAATTATAACAATGTTGATTAACTTTCTACACTATATATTGTGAATTCAATTTCAAGCCCATTTCAAGCCCATCTTTCCTAAAATGTAAAAATTAACCAGTACCAAATAAATTCTTGTGGTTATATACTGTAGATATGCTTTATTTAGTAATTTGTGCTTGATGTTCTTTAATAATTAATTTAAAAATCAAATTGCTATTTAATTGGTAATCATGTGTTTTGTATTATTAAATATATTAAATATAATGTAATATATTAAATAAAAAGACTAGACTATAAGACATCACTTACTTAACGTAAATTATTCATTTATTGAACACTTGGCAACATTATAAGTTATTTTTAAAATTTCTACTTTTACATTATGTTTTTATTATAAAAATTTCCAATTCTACGTTAACCAGCAAAACAGGACTGGTATTCAAACGATTAAATCTACTCAAACAATTTTATTTTATTATTTGTAATATTAACGTATTAATTAAATTATTATTTGCGTATTAAATGCTACATACACTTTTTATGATATAATTTATTCAAAATATATTCAGTTACTTTGCTGTTAACGTTTTTATTTTTAATTATGCTTTCTATTCATTTTCGACATTACGGAGTGCTTAGGAAAAATCATTTGTTAAATTAGAAAATTATTGACTATTTATTATTTGGATTATTATTATGACGAGCGGATCGTTTATTGTAAATGGTTACCCGATTGGGTACGATAGGTATGGCACCGGTTCGTCACCTGTGCTCATGATACCCGGTGCTCTCGGTATACAACGTTTATTTGATATAATGAATTATTTTTAAAATGTTATAATAACAATGTGTTGTATTGAAACGTAAGGCACGGGTAAAACTGATTTTTACGAACAGTTGGAAGGGGACGACCAGTTAGATCAGCACAAATTCACCATCATCGCTGTGGACCCGCCCGGTTGGGGCCGATCCCGACCACCCGCTCGCAAATATGACGACAATATCTTCAATAACGATGCGGACTGTTATTATGAACTCATGAAAGTAATAACTGTTAAATATTATATAGTAACTACTATAGATACTGTTAATTAAACATTACGGAAAATGCCAAATGTTAATAATTATACTGTACATTATAATTTAGCATTTAGGTTTTGTAAGATTTCACGTGATCGGTTGGTCTGATGGTGCAATGGCGAGCATATGTATGGTCTGCAAATATCCCGATGCTGTCATACGAATGGCAATTCACGGCGGTTTACACACTGTATATTCAAAGACCATATCTGTATTGAAGTCGACCCGTAATGTCGAGGGTTGGCCTAAAGAGAGACTCGACGGCTGTCTTCGCGCGTATCAAAGCAAAGAGGAGTTACAGAAACTATGGGACAGACACTTGAAGTTTGTCGACTATTATAACGTGTATTTCCCGCGGGACCCTCTTATTAGCAAATATCCAAAAGTCAACTGTCCTATTCTTGTCATGCATGGCGATAAGGTATGTAAATTTATAGTAATCATTACATTTCACATTAAGATCATACTGTGCAGTAAAATATTTATGTATAATAATTATATTGGAATTAATTTAATATAAAAGCATTTAATTTCAGGACGCGCTCACTACAATAGATCACCCTGAATATTTTGTGAAGCACATAAAGTCTGCCCGATTACACCAATTCCCCGCCGGTAACCACGACTTGCACTCCCGGTATGCCTCGTCTTATAAGAGTCTTGTCGAAGAATTTTTGCTCAAATAAAGTTTTGGATCATTTATATCGACAAACAATTCTTATAAAGTGGCGAACATTTATTTTTTATAACTAATAAAAATAAATAAATTACTAAATATTTAGAATTAAAGTAAAAAATGTAATCATCAAATATCCAACCAATGGACGTTATATAAAATAATTGACAATTAATTTTATATAATTATTTACACATAACAACTGTGGAAAATATTAACTATTACTAATATAACGGGTTATTAGTAATAACTTATTACAAATTTGGTCTCTAAATAAAATTAACTACCAGAAAACTACTACAGTACCGGTATATTAATAAAATAATTTTAATGAAAAACTTATATATGAATAACTATTACAATAAATAATTAATTAAACGGTATCTTAAAATAATTTATTCAATTTATGAACTTGGAAACCGAATTTCATTATAAGTTATGATTGAAATTAACATATATTTCCACTTTTACATAAGAAACTAATTTAAAAAGTGCTAAATTCGTTGAAATAGTATTACTAAAATTTTTAAATACAGTATATTTTCAATGCTTTTAAAAAATAAATTTAAAACCTTTTTAACAGTAGCACACAAAACATTTATTTTTAATGTATTTTTAATGTATTTGCATATTTATTGTTTGATTGTTTTACTACTAGTACTGAGTTTTAAATAATTAATTATGACAATTATTGTACAAT